CTCGATCAATGGCTCGGTCTCTAATACTATTTCTGGAATCTCATCTTCTGCTAAGACATCGGGTTCCTTGTTAGATGTGTTCGATCCCCTTGATTTCCTTCGTTTGATGGGTGGCAGTTTGACCTCTGGTTCGCCACGGTCACGTGCCGCTGCTCGAGATCTAGTAACGACGAGGGTTTCTTTGTTATCTTGAATGCTTCGCTCCGAAATACATTCCACTGGAATAACTCTTTTCAAGTCAGGATCTGATGTTGATGCTAACACGGCAAGTGCGTCCGTAGTTGTATTCTCTCCCCGAGGTATGCGAATTAATTTGAATTTCGAGAAATTTTTAGATAGATCCTTTACCACTTCGAGGTATGTTTCCATTCTTGAGTCCTTGGCCTCGTAGTCTCCATTAAACTGGTTAACTACTAATTGCGAATCACAATAAGCGGTTATTTCCTTAGCTCCAACTCCTTGTGCCAATCGAAGTCCGGCAATTAGGGCTTCGTATTCTGCCTCATTGTTGGAAGCATTAAATAACAATCGGAATGATTGTTCTAAAATTTCCGACGTTGGAGACTCCAACTTGATTCCCACTCCAGATCCTTGCTTTGATGAAGACCCATCTACATGCAATTTCCAAGTTTGGTTCTCCGGTTGTTCTAGCGTGCCAGGTATTGGTAGCTCGGTCAGAAAATCTGCTAAAACCTGAGCCTTCATACTGATTCGGCTTTTGAATTCTATATCATACTCGCTCAATTTCACCGCCCATTTTGCCAAACATCTGGACTGACTTGGACTATGAAGTATTGTTCGGAGTGGCTGGTTGGTTAATACTTTGACCAGATGGGATTGAAAATATGGGCGCAGCTTCCGAGCCGAAGTCACCTCCGCGAGTGCGAGTTTTTCCATCATTGTATATCTGGTTTCCGGATCCGTCATTGACTTACTTATATAGTAAATCGGCTTCTGCATCCCGCGGTCTTCCCGGACCAAGACTCCGCTAACCGCATGGATCGAAACGGATACGTACAAATAAAGCTTTTCATCCACTTCTGGTTTGGACAATATAGGTGGAGTAGTCAAGTATGCCTTAAGCTGCCCAAAAGCTTCTTCACACTTCTCATCCCAAAGGAATCCTTTGTTTCCTTTTAGAATTTGGTAAAAAGGTAACGACTTATCTGTTGATCTCGAGATAAAACGATTCAAAGCCGCAATCCGCCCAGTTAACCGTTGTACCTCCTTGAAGTTTCTTGGAGACGGCATGTTTAGAAAGGCGTTGATTTGATTTGGATTGGCCTCAATCCCTCTTTCGGTCACAATATAGCCGAGAAATTCTCCGGATGGGACTCCGAATGTACACTTCGCCGGGTTTAGCTTTATTTGATATTTATTGAGAATGTTGAAACATTCCTCTAAATGCTTAACGTGATCCTCCTTCTTTAACGATTTAACTAACATATCATCTATGTAGACTTCCATTGTTTTCCCGAGATGGTTGTGGAACATTTTGTTAACCAACCGTTGATAAGTTGCTCCTGCATTTTTCAATCCAAAAGGCATTACCTTGTAACAATAGATACCTCTATCCGTGACAAATGACGTTTTCTCTTGGTCTTCGGGGTTCATCATTATTTGATTATAACCCGAGAAGGCATCCATGAAGGTTAACAGTTCATTCCCAGCGGTGGATTCTACAAGTCGATCTATATGCGGGAGCGGGAAACTGTTTTGGGACATGCTTTATTGAGGTCTATGAAGTCGATGCAAACCCTATCTTTTCCATTCTTCTTTTTGACCACGACAGTGTTTGCTACCCATTCCGGGTATTGTACTTCCCTTATGGACCCTATCTTTAAAAATTTGTCCACTTCGTCATTTACTATTCTTGCTCGCTCCGCTCCGAGCTTTCTTCTTTTTTGTTTTACCGGCTTAAAGCTTGGATCCACGTTTAGTTCATGAAAAATTATGCTTGGATCTATGCCAGGCATATCCGCCGCTGACCATGCAAATGATGCTTTGTTTTTCCTTAAAAGTTCAATCAAAGCTTCTTTTATTTGGCCAGTCAAAGTTGCTCCAATTCGGACTTTCCGATCTGGTTTATTTTCTTCCAACACCACTTCGATTACTATATCCTCTTTTTCCTGTCCACTAGGAAATTTTGGTCTTAGTCCCTCTTTTGCGGGCTTCGTTAATTGCTATTGGATCTTCAACCGGTGGCTAGCCAAATAACATGTTCGTGAAGCTTCTTGATCTCCCCGAATTGTTTCCACTCCACTTGGTGCCGAAAATTTGATACATTGATGATATGTAGAGGGGACTGCCTTCATTTGATAAATCCAGGGAGTCCCGAGGATAATGTTATAAGCTGCGGGGTTATCGAAAACAACAAAATCCACGATCTTTGACACTTGTTTGGCAAGGACCGGTAGCTTGATTTTTCTGAGAGACATGGCTGACTCACTTGTGAACGCAACTAATGGAGATGGAGGTCCTACTATGTCCGCCCGGCTAATTCCCATTCTTTCTAAGGTACTTAAAAAGATTAAGTCGACTGAACTGCCTGTATCGATAAGGATCATGGATACTTCGAAGTTGGCAACGTCCAGGGTAATGACTAGGGCATCATCATGAGGTCTTTCGAGGTGCCGCGTTTCTTCTTCGTTTAATGATATTGATGCTCCTTGAAAATCGACTTCTTTGCTCAAACTTGCTTTGAGTAAAACATTTCGCCTATGTTTCTTGATGGAACTTATCGAATCTCGGCAAAGTTTGGAACCTCCTAGAATCACATTAATCTTACCCTTCGAACTCCTTGGTTCTTCCTCATTGGATAACCTTGGTCTTTTAGAATTTTGATCTTTGGAGTTATCCTTTGCTTCGTGGTATTCCTTCACGAAATCTTTTATATCGAATTTGGAAAGATCTCCACTGGCCCAAAGCTCCTCGAGGTGCCTTTTAAGGACACTACAATCCTTGGTTAAATGTCCGGTTACTGTATGAATGTCGCAATATAAACTTTCATCACGGACCCAAGTGTTTGACCTTCCTTTCCCTTAGAATTGCTTTCCGACGGTACTGTTGAAGGGTTGCGACCCAAATTTCCTTGGTCCTTTGCTCTCCCTAGGCTCGAACTTCTTGGTAGGGACGGTGATTGCTGGCTTTTCTTGTTTATTTCTTTTGGCAAAATTTTCTTTTTTGTCCTCTACTTCCATCCAGTTGTTTGCGCGGAAGAGTGCATCCTGAATTGTGTCTGGTTTATGAAGTATTAAATCCTCTTTAAACCTTGAATCATGTCGCAATCCTTTTCGTAGGGCAGATAAAGCTGATTGCTGTGAGATTCTTGGGAGTTTTGACAGCACTCCTTTGAACTTGGTGATGAAAACTCGAAGTGACTCATTTGATCCTTGTGATAGGTTCCAAAGATCGGCATCTGAAACGCTTTTATCCATAAGGATGGAATATTGCTTTAAGAACACAGCTGATAGTTCGTCGAAATTGCTGATCGAAGCTCTAATTGGGTGAACCACATTAGAGCTTGGCCGCATAGATTTTCCGAAAAGAGCTTGCAGTACTTTGCGTCCTCATCAGCTCCATCCAATTCGACTCTTCCAGCAGCGATCAGAAAAGCTGCGAGATAGCTCTTTGGATCCTCCAATCCGCTGTAAGGGTCCAGCTTGAGCTTCCGGGAATCTTTGATTCTCAAACTTGCAATTCGCGAGATGAAAGGTGTTCGCCTAGCTTCTTCAATGACTCGATTGATGTCTGGCTCCGAACTTGTAGCTTGATGAAATTTTGATTTCATTTCTTTTAATTCCTGGCTAACCTTCCTCATGGTCTCGAACTGGTCGAGGTTCTCCTGCTCGTATTGATCTGCAAGTTGATCTTCATCTTCGAACTGTGTCTCTCCTTCCAACGGCTGAACTGCCGTATTAGTAGCACCAGGAGTCGTTTGTCCGTTGGTTTCATTTCGCGCAACGGAACTTGGCGAGTTGAATATCCTTCTTCGGATTCCAACAGGATTTCCTGCACTTAAAGAGCGAACACGAGATTGTATAGTACTGACGTTTTAACTAAGAGATACATGGGATGTTTGCAACGTGTCAACGGCCTTTTCTACATTCGAGAGCTTCTGCGACATTTCCGACATGGTTTGTTGCATGGCTTTGAGGGTTTCGGCCAATGATGACTCAACGGCGTCTCCTCCGGACATTGCTGCTTATCTCGGAAATGTAGTAAAGAAAAATCTGACCACTCAAGAATCCTCTATCCCCACAGGCGGTGTCAAAATGTGGATGTCGGATTCACACACTCAAGTATTTTTATTAAGTAGGAAAGATTACTCTTGAGGGACAAAAATGAATATGTAAAAAGCTTATGAATTGTTACAGTATTTCTTATTCGAGGAAAAAGATCCCCCTTACATGGTCATTGGCCTTTATATTTATACATAGAAACATCACACATTTAAGTGGCTAATTAAATACAATTATTTTCTCTTAAATGTGTCTGTTTCGGTCTCTGAATTTAATGCTCAACGTTCGAATTTGAACTAACTTCGACATTCATGGGCCTCGCCTTTTGGCCCAAATATCCTTGGACCGACTTAACCGTGACTTTGACTCCGGACTCGTGTCGAGGTGCAGCCACTTTGGATTCTCCTTGTGGTGATAATCACTTCGACCGTTCCTTTGACTTACGGGTCTAATGAGCTTTATCCTTCGTGGACCGTTATCTTGACTACGTGGCAATCTTTGGTTGGTCCACGGACTTCTGGTGCGAGATCCGACACCAACAGATGGCAAAAACTATTATGGAAATATATGTACAATTTCCTTATAATTAGCCTTTTACATTTTAAAACTTGTTTAAATTTATAATTTCTTATAATTATCTTTTTACTTTTTTTATTTGACACATGTCAAAATCTCAGATAGAAAAGTTGATACGTGTCACGATCTCGTGAATTATTAACTTTGAAAACTATATTTTATATAATAAGATATATACATATATAGGGAAGGATTATATTACAAGATCAAAGCTTATTAAGTTGTATGATAATTTTGAGTGCTGCTGCATCATCCTATCATTTGAGTTATGTACAGTTTTCTTCTCTTATACAACGAGCTGTGCTTCAATGGCTTTACCCACCAAGTCTCGGTTATGAGGTCTCAAGAGAGATTCTTGATCGCCAGATGAAGAAATAGCCGGTTGAATTCCACTTGCGTTTAGCGGAAACAGCGTTTTGTAGTACCCATCCATTATAGCCGAAATATCACAAGTAGCCGCAACACCAGGAATCTGTTTCAACAACAACAACAAACACGGAATTTGAAATGCACTTCCAATCACAGAATTTGTGTATTAGAGAGAAGCCAGTAAGAAAAGGAACCTGGTACATGTCCCGCAAATAGCCATAGAGATTCGGGTACTCAACAAGCTTCTTCTTGGTGCACTTGAATAGATTGTTGTAAACCGGATCAAAACGAATCAGAGTTGTAAAGAGACACACATCCGCCAAGGTTAACCTTTCTCCACACAAGTATCTATTACTACCCAAGTGATCCTCAATCTTATCTAAGGTACTAAAGAGTTCATTCACTGCTCCATCATACGCTTCTTGGCTCTGCGCAAACCCGCACCTTTTAAAACATCAATGCAAGCAAATCACTACACAACAAAGCCATCAACTTTAACAACAAACACACAATGCAGTGTCAAGAACACAAGCTATGAGCAAAAACTGCATCAAATGTGGAACAATTCACTCAATTCCTATAGCTTTTTCGATATTCCGATTACTTGTAAACGCCATTGTTAACACACTATAAGCATTGTAATGATGTTCCAAATTTACCTGTAAACGCCATTGTTAACTTTAGGATACACAATCTGATTCCAATCTTGGATCTTCTCTTTCAACTCTGGTGGCGAAAGATCTAAATCAGCGTTTCGTGCCAATTCGTTTAAACCCGAATTGAAGAACTCGATAATATCGTAGCTTTCGTTACAAACAACTTCTTTCTTCCTTGAATCCCACAGCATTGGAACGGTACACCTCCCGTCGTAACCTCCGGTTCTTGATTTGTACACTTCCTTAAGATTCCGGCATCGGTTTGCCTTATCCAAACTCGGGATAAGTTGATCCTTATCCTTGATTGGGATATTGTTATCCTTGAATTCCCATGATCCATCTTGACCAGGCGATGCGACTGAGACTGTAACGGCGTCGTTTAAACCCTTGAGAGCTCGGACAATTAGGGTTCGATAAGACAAAGGAAAAGGAAGACCAATGCCAAAGGGATAAGAGAATGTCGTGTCTTATTCATATCAAAAGAAAGAAAGAGTATATATACATGTTACAAGAAACCCTAAACATACTTAAGGATATTAACATAAAACTCTGGGAATTATACTATATTTACATATAACTTCCTAATACTTCTCCTCAAGTTGGAGCATGAAGATTATACATGCCCAACTTGCGCCGTAAATAAGCAAATTGTTGAGAACCCAAAGTCTTAGTAAAGATATCTGCTGGTTGCTCTGTAGTGGTAAGATGTGCAGTAACTAGTGAACCATCCTGAATTTCATCCCGGATAAAGTGACAATCCCTCTCAATATGCTTCGTCCGTTCATGAAAAACTATAACAAGTTTTAATTTTATACTAAACAAATGATTTATTTTTATTTTAACCAATTAATTTATAATTTTCATATGTTTATTTGATCCAATCAAATTAAAATGCAATAATAAATTATATTAAATAGAAAACAACAAAATAAATGCGGCAAAATTAATACCGACATTAAAGATTAAAAAGAAAACATAACATAGCATAGATTAATAACTTAATAATTTGGTAATGCATTTCCAGATCCACTAAGATAATTAAAATATTGCCTAAATGTTTACTATAGATAAATTTGTTGAACTATTAGTTTACCATAAAATAAATGCGGCAAAATTTATAAATTTAGAAAGTAAAAGACATTGTTATTAATTAATAATGAAATAAAGATAAAATATACTTAGAATATTCGTTTTGAAGTAGGAAATGAAGGAAACCATTGGAAATCCCATGCTTCATTTTTTTCCTTTATTTTAAAGAAATATTTGAAGCCAGCGATTGGAGATGCTCTGAAGTGGCGTGGCGCAAATGATGGGAAGACGAAAGACTCAAAACGTTGCGTAAGCATAGCTGAGCCTATCTATCGTTCGTTGATTCCATAGCTAAGCCTATCTTTTCGAGGGTGTTTATGTTCGTGAGAAAATCGAGAAGCAAAGAAAGAAGGATGTTTTGCAAAAGCTCTTCTATTATTCCAAACAAATTTAACGAACTTTTACAATACCAAAGCGACGTTTAAATAGGTGAGGTTAAATCAGCACCTAGGAACAAAAGAAAACAAACTAGACTCAAGATAGAATCAAATATGATGAAAGTCGATAACAAATTAATGCAAAAGAAACTAGGAAACAAGTTTTATAGTAGTTGGTTTGAAGACTTGGATGACGGAAGCCACCGTCCCCACCAGAGTAAAAAGCAAGAGAAGTATGGCCGCTACTGTAGCTGTTCCGGTCCACAAGTCGTTAAAGTAGACTTTGGTGAGAGTGGCCCAACACCTTTTCCATTGAGATTTGTAGCGAGCTCTGAGATTCATGGCGATGCCATAATATTGGGAGTGGGCCGCTTCTTTCAGACCAACCTTTAAGTTGTTCACTATCTCCACCACCAAGCTCGGCCGACCCACACCATTTGTTAGCACCCCTGTATTCCAGCATCACATGTTTGTTGTTATTCATATCAACTGAAGAGAAAAAATGTATTAATTTTGTGATATTTGTACCTTCTTCAATGAGTACCTCGACGTCTCTATCGGAAGTAATCAAAAAATTTATGAAATGTATGTAGTTAGAAGTAAAGGGTGTTAAGGTAACATGTCTTTGTTCATACGCAATGACATTTCTCAGGATCCTTTCTGAAGCTTCACTTGCATGGAAAGTTGACATCACTAAGCAACTTTCACTAAACGCCACATGCAGCGAATAATCATCAACCTCCTTTCTGATGGAGATCGGAAGCGATAACAAGTCCAGTGGCTGGTGGTGAATACTATTTTGTTGTGAGGAATTTAAGAGATTGTACGCCTAAACAAGAAAAGGGTAGAGAAGAAACTCAGAGGTGAATCATAATTCAAACGAAAGCCTTATCAAGAGAAATAACAAAACCCAAAAATCCTTAACTGCTAAAAAATAGAAGATGCAAAACTTTACCTTGAATTCCACTCCTACACGGGATAGGTTACTCGCGTTCTGCATCTCTGCGATAGCTGGCCCACTTAAGTCCGTCAGGCTTGGAGTTTTGTCAAGCGATTCCTCATAAGCACACCGGAACATGTCTGTGAAATGCTTGAAGGTTGTATTTCTTTTGACCTTCGTGTGCAGGGAAAATAATTCCAGGATGACTCGGTCGAGAGTCTTATATATACCCAATGTCTCTAAATGGGGACTGAACAATCGATCCAAAATGAAATAGGGAAGTTGATTTTCCAGCAACATGAGATCTGCTATCACTCTTGAACTGTCGATACGGTGTTTCACAATTAGACTTTCTGAACTTCCATGACCTTCATAAAGTTTCATAATGAACTCCATGATGAATATTGAATCCTTATAGATAAGTTCCACGAAAAATTCAGCCATTTTGTCAATTACATCCTTCTCCGCATAGCTTTCCCTAATATTTTCTTTTTCGGCCTGTATGGTTTTCTTCATTTCCTTAATAATTTCTTCCCCGACTCTTTTCTCGAAAGAGTCGACGTACGTCTTCTTTTCGTGCTCCATCTTCATACAGTTTTTTCCTTTTTTTTTTTTAAAATGCCTAATAAACATCCATCGCCACATTAATCATTGGATTATGTAAGTAACAATTCCAATAACTAACCAAAAATTAGGAAGGAGGTGCGAAAGATCGTCGTTTCATCAAATAACTATAGGCTATTTAATTAACATTAACAAGTGGAATTCTTTATAAAAAAAAAAACAAGTAGAGTGACAAATAAAAACTAAAAAAAGTGTGCGAGTTACCAATTAAAATTCAAATATTGTTAATAAAAATTTAACATCTATTTTTTATATCCGCATATTTACAGAAAATTAACAAAAAGTTGTGTAATATAACTGAGATGATAGGGGTATTTGTAAATAACTTCAGAACTTTTGATGCTTTTCAAATATTCTAGTTTTTTTCTTAACTATCAAGAAAATATTAACAAAGAAATAGTATATATATCTGCTTACGTATGTTATAGTTTAAACATGTGTTTCACGTACATTAGGTCGCTACTCGTTCCGGCATCGTCGTCCTTAGAAGATTTCGGTCGCAATTTGGGAGAACGATGAAGGGGGCCGATGAGGACCATCTGAGGTGTATAGGCTCCAGGATTCGCTTGACGAATTGCGCTTGACACTCTGTAAATGCAAGGTTCTAGAGATCCCATCTTCGATAAGTTAAGATCCTGCATCAAGTTTTGTTAGATATATTATATAATCCAACCATATATATATATATATATATATATATATATATATATATATGTACAATTACAAACTAAAGAGAAATTGAAAAGTCAACTATCATATAGAACATACTGCGTTGTATACTAAATAAAATTTGGTTGTTATCATCTTGGTTCATGTCATGTATATCGAAAGAAAAAATATAAAAGACATAATACAAGGAAGAAGAGCTAACTGTTAATATCGATGACTATGGAACGAGGATTAAAAATCTCATCAAACAAACCCCTTTACGATTTGTCGTACTTAGATTTACAGCAGGAAGTAGAGTGTGGGTGTTATATAACATTGAGAAAATTTGACAGCGAGGAAGACGATCATATATTCTATGAATAAAATGGTGCAACTTGTGATGATAAAATGGGGGAAACATGTAAAACTACCCTCCAATACCAATTTATGCAAAACCAACTTTGGATTATAAAACAAATTATTACAAACAAGTGCAACCATTCTAGTTTATTATAATACTAGGTAAAGTCTCGTAGGTTTGAATAATTTAAGTAAATCATGCAACACTATGTAACTAAATATATGTTAAAGTGTTTTTATTTTTTTTCGTTTATAAGAGATTTTTGTTAAAGTATTTATGAATTCATTTCATGAGTAATATTAGTTTTTTTTTTGACATGATGAGTAATATTAGTTATGTTTGAATATGTAAACAAGGTTTCAATTAGTATGTTACTATAATAGCATGTTTTTATTTTCAAAAATAAAAAATAATATGATAATAATATGTTAGAACTTACAAACGATCGAAGATGTAATTTATGTACCCCTTACAAATTTGTTTCCTAAGTAGGGAGAGTTGTGGAAAGCTAAGTTCTTAAAAAGAACATATTATCACTTTGTGCTACCTAAACAAAATAATTTTATTAGAAAATATATTGAAAATATTTTACTGTGTAAGATAATGTAAGAAAAAATAAAGAAAAAAGATGTGAAAAACATGTCGATGATTGTATTTACAAATTTTACAAAAAGAATTTCCAGTCCGAAGAGTTGGAGAAATCTAAGTTCTTAAAGTTTTTCGAATATTAAAATTTTTTTACTGTGTAAGATAATATAATAAAAATAAAATAAAAAAGTTTTTTGTTTGGCAAAAACCAAAGGAAAGATAATATTTTAGAAACTATCATTATTGGTATATCATTTTCATCAAAATATATAAATAAATGCATACGTGGCAAAAATGTTAAACTATATTACTCTAAAACTGTTTGATTAATAACAAAAAATTTTTACTAATAGATTAAAGTAACACAAGTATACCCAAACATGTACATATGTTTTGGTAGTTTAATTTCTCATATAGCTTGTCAAAATATTTTATAATTATTCTATTATAATAGCAAAATCATTTATAATATAAAACAAGTTAGAGAAATGACAGATTGTATTTATAATACATTTTACACCAAAATGTATCGTATAAAATTTTCCTTTATTGTTAAAACAAAATTTTAAACAACAGAAATGATACCAAAAATATAAATAAAAACAGTAAGGTAAAATAGAATAAAAATAAAAAATTTTAGTAGTTTTCCATTACTAATGTCAATGCATATCTACTTAAGTGATTAGTAAGTTCAAACATATATTAAAACAATCGATAAATATAAAACCTCCATGAAGGGAAGATGGTTAATATATAATCTAGTGTCCGTATAATAGTTAAAAAAAAAAGTACTGATATGTAGAATAACATGACTGGGTCATATCTTAAACTTTTTTCAAGATTATACGTTATAATTGTTATAATAAATTAAATACTTTTTATTGCACTAGATAACGTTGTAACAAATTGAATCATATAAAATTATAACAAATTAAACCTAATAAATTATATACGTTTTTCTTTTGATAAAATTTTGACCCTTTATAACGTTATAACAATTTAGCACTTGATTATTAATAATAAGTTCGCAATTTTTGGGAAATGACCTAGTCACATTTTATACAAGTTTTCACAACATTATAGAACACGAACTGTAGAAAGCATTAATAAATTCATTTTATTAAGACAAATCAAATACCTCAACGTGGGTAGCTCCGTAGCTTCAATATTGTAGTAATCAAATACCCTTTGATTTGCACAATCCAATTTTGTTACTATTATAAATATTTTACTTTAGTTTAGATAGTTAATTAATGCTTTATATTACCCTAGATTGTATATTTTACTATGCCAAATTAAATATTAATCAAACTAGGTTACTTTCTCCGCAGTTTATTTTAGATTCGTAAATATGGTTTAAGTTTAGTTATATAACATAAAAGTTAAAGAGTAAACTAGTTTTCATTAGATCCCAAAACTTCGATAATTTAAATTGTGCATGAGCATAATAAGGATTCGAAAAAATGTCAAAAAAATATGAAATATTAAATTGGAGGCATTCTAATCCAGAATTTTGAAAATGTCAATTATATCATTAAATTTTTGTTGATTTCATAAAGAAATGAGAAATTTTTGTTGCCTTGACTATTTGAGACATATCGTTAAATAGATAGACATAATCCATTTATGGTGATGCCTCAAATGGCCAAGTCAATTAAAATTCGTCATTTATTTATGATGTCAACAAAAATTTAATAGTTTAATCCATATTTTGAAGTTTGGAAATTAAAACATTCCAAATTTAAAAATTCATGTTTTTGACATTTAAAAAAAAAAGATTACATGAAAAGATTTCTATATGTAGGACGGGTTAGAGTGGCAAAAAAATTCGGAAATATCTGATTAGTTTTATTTATTATTTTGGAAAGTGACAAATGGCATTGAAGTAAATTTGTCGTCATCCAAAATGATTTACTTTAGTCTTACAAAAAGCCTATTATGTGCAATATAATGCACTAAAAACGAAAATCGTAAATTATTCAGTATGTTATATTTCATGATATGCAACTATGCAAGATTGCAAGTAACTCGTTTTTAAGCACTTTTTCCCACATACTAAAACCTCTATAAATTAATAATATTGTGATCAATGTATTTTACTAAATTTTATTAATATATCGTATTTCTTAATTTATAGAGGTAAAATTTGGACAAAAGTATCAATTTAGAAATGAAAAAAATTATTAAAGTAAATTTAACGAGGTATTAATTTATAGAGGTTTCAACGTAGGTTGAATTAAGTGATGACTGATGACCCATACTAAAGCGCGAAACTAATTCATAAGTTTAATTACATACAAAAAATTAATTGTGTTACTACATGGTCACAACTCACAAATAAGAAAATTTTGAATACTCATGAACCTAAAGTTTTTTGTATTAGTTCATGTTGGTTTGACCTATTCCACTTAGAAGTGTAGATATATATAAGAGAATTTGTGAAGTTTTTTTCCTTCTATTTAACCAATATGACACAATGTTTATAAAAACAAAATTTCAAATTTACTATCAGTTATCACCCTTGAATATTTTATGATTTTAACTAAAAAATTTCTTTTTGTTTTCAATGTATTCCATACTGGTGTTTTAGGTAAATAAATACAAATACAATGGAATATATTTTCCTTCAATGGATTAAATAATAAAAGAGTTTTCTGATTAAAATAATAGAAAATTACTGTAAAATATTGTGAGAGTGATTTACATGTCAACGAAAATATCTCCAAATATTTTTTTTATCATTTTAATATAAAGAAGATATAATGAAAGTATAACAAATTCTCTTATATATATTTATGCTTTTTTTCTTTTTTTTTTGTCGTCTAGATTTATTATTAATTGCAAATTATGAGAACTGTTACATAAACGATTCTACAACTGACAATTCCTTCCGACCCTTACTAGATCCACGACAGACTACACTTCATTCTTCGTAATCTTGATGAATACCTTCAATGATCCACAACCTGGCGACACTTCCTTCTCTGCGTAGAATCCTGGCGAACAGCTATAATTGTACATCGCTGGAGATCTCTTGCACACTTGCCTCCATTAATCTGCAAATTTGTTAATAAATCGCAATACCTGGGACTCGAACCCCAGACTTCTTGGTGTAGAAGCATTAATCAACCCTTGGTCAACCAATTGGCTAAGGAGGCTTCCACATATATTTATGCTTTTAGATGAAGGTCATTGCACAAAAGAAAATTTGCACAAAAAAAAAAATGTAGGTCAAAATAATGTGGACTACACATAACTTTAGCTTCTTGCAATAGCACAATTTTTTTATTTATAAGTAAATTTATGAATTATATTATCTCGTTCATTAGCACTTCTGTACTTATATCAAAAGTTGTTAAGTTTTTTCTTAGATATATAACTAATAAATCAAGTTATAATTATGATTTGGCACAGAAATTATTAAGAAGTTGATGAGTTGGGCAGTAGTTGGCGAGTGCTTATTTAGTGACAATTTAGATAAATTTTAACAGCATTATACAACACGAACCCGTAGATAGCAATCATAATGTATTAATAAATTGAATTAAGTAGTAAGAAAAATAAAATATCTCAACATGTACTTCCGCGGTTAATTATTGTAGTAGTCAAATTTTCAAGAGTGGATTTACTCAGAGACTTATTGGAAAAAATATTTAAGAAAATAATATTAGTAAAGAGGATCATAGACGACGTGAAAAAAGAGTTGCAATGGGGTTTGAAGTTGGCAATAATTACGACAATACCAGCTATTATTTACGTCGTACTCGTGGTGAAGGTTGGTGTCTCTTGAGAGATCCGAAGGAACAATCTGCCATATCATAAATGCTTCCTGTTGAATCGACATCGCCACATAGACAAAAAAAAACGAACTGATAGTTAATAAATGGAACAGATCTTAACTCGAGCTAACTCAAATTTGAATATAGACAACTATCATAGTTGCATGGACACTCAATAAATAATTATTTTGAATTTTTTTAACAACTAACCTAATTGCATGGATACCCAATAAATATTTCGATGGAAAAAAAAAAGGACACCCAATAAATATTTTATACGATTTTGACATTTGTAATACAGATAAACACATACATAGAGCGTTATAAATAATTAGAGTGTTAAATACTTCGGTCTATGTGTACATATAAATATATATATATATAGTGTTGTTAGCATTTGTATATATGTAAACACGTATATGGAGCGTTATTAACATTTGTATACATGTAAACACGTACATGAAACGTTATTGACATTTGTATACATGTAAACACGTGTATAGAACACTATTAACATTTGTATATATGTAAACACATATATAAACC